CTTGATGATTGGGACGCACCAAGAAGGTTGCTTTCGGGCATCGCTGCTCTTGCTGCTAGGATAGCTTCGTTCGGACTTGTTATCCCTTGTATGAGCCAGGTGTGGTTCACGGGTCCAATCGCCAAAATGACAGGGGATATCGGCTTTGAGGTTGCGTTTGGGGTCAGTGCAGTACTATACCTTCCTTTTCGTCTGCTTGAGATTAGAATACTGGGGCATGTGTAATATATATGTGCAAGACATGCCTGCGCATATTCACCGTCAATTCCAAGGGTTTTCAGCGAGATTTCGCAATTGCACATGGACGTCACTTGTCAAAATGCGCCAAGTTGTTGCAGACGAAACGTTTGTCCTTTTAGTTTTACATGTTACGTGCAACATCACCCAAAAAAGGTCTCCACTGGGCCTAACGTCGAATGCGGCGTTAGCTTCATTCCATCTCATCTACGAAAGATAAATACACGGTTGAACAACTGAAAACGCTGAGTTCTCGTGCACTGGCAGCGCGGGCCAGCTCATCTGGATTCCAAACAAGGTAAAGGGCGGGATTCACGGCGAATCATAATGCAGGCGGTGAAAAAAGCTGTTTTGCGCTTAGCAACTCTTTCAATTCTTCGGAACATGACCCTTGTACTGGTCATCCACTACTTTGCCCACACATTCCGTATCGACCTCCCGCCACCAATGGGTTCCCAGCCTAACGGAGTGTTTGAGGAACACCGTTTGTTCCTCGTCAAAAAGTTGTCCTAGTAGTAATCGGGCCCTGTCATATTTTGACGATTACGGCGCAGGGCGGGTGGGCCATGGCTCCTAGGGGGCTGGGGTCAGAGACACGGGAGCGGCTTGAATGGGGAGGGGACGTTCATGTCGTTTGCAATGGCGAATTTGGCTCCTTTCAGCTTCAAGTGGTTTTGCACACAACCATGCAAGTCGATTGGGTCGAAGATTTGATGGACTCTGCTGCGGATGCTAGTAAGGAAGGACGCTATGATCGTTTCTTGTCGGAGGGTACTATGTTTTTTGTGGTGGTTGGTGGGTTGTCGAGGAGGTTTGGTGATGATTTGTTGGCTTTTGCCCAGTTTGTGGCGTTTTAGAGGTAGGGGTAGAGAGCGGCAAGGCCGAGAGGGAGGAAGAGGTTGAATACACGGCTGCGGCGCATGCAGGTTTCTTTTGGTGGAAGTTGAAAGGGTTCTTTCAGAGTCAGAGTCTGCGTCCAGGTCTGTCGCGTTTATTGGCATCCAATATAATCAAATATGAAAAGTCAACTTGTGCCTGTCAAAGAAGGTGAGTTGGGCCGTGAATGACGATGACAACGATGGGCTCACCAGTTCGGCAAGTTTGGCACCATCAACTCCAATATTAGCCTCTCAGCGTATTTCACAACGATGATGAGCCTCCAATATGCATGGTGAACGGCACATAAGCCGTGCAGAAAGCCGTCAAAGGTGTATATCGATAACCAGGTCTATAGATTTGTTAGCTACCGCCATGGTGGGAACAAAGAGAGCTATACTCGGGAAGTCTCCACAATAAGATGTCAACCGATGAATCAAAAGCCGTCTGACCTCACGTTGATAAGATGTGAAGACCACGACCCTCCCTTTGCCTGTGAGCGCTCTTTCAAGCATCGTTGTCACTTATGAGCATCGAAGGCCTCGACAAAACTCAACCTCCCAGCACAGTTCACTGGTAAGGCCTGAGCCCAATCGGAACCTTCAATGACGACTGTAAACGAGCTGAGCTGCTACACGATAGATTGCGTCGTGAAAGACAGTTCAGAGGCGAGGTATACACACCTTTCCGCAGCCATGGCTGCAGGTGGAAGACGCTTCCTTGGGTTTTGAAAGGGCATACTTGGGGCATACGGACGTCAATTCCTGGATCACAGGGTATGTAGAGAGAGTCGAAGTTCTTGTGAGCGTGCCTCCCAGCGTCTTTAAGAAAAACAGCTGACAGGATGTGGGTATTACCAGGGCAGAGGTACCCGGAGACGATGGAAACGAGTCGACGATACGGTGATCAAGATTCAAGAAATGCAGTCAAATTGCGCTGATAGGGAATTGCGGATGAGACAGCTGAGTGGGAGGAGAAGGACAGATGGATTGGCGTGGATTGTGATGCTCCGGAGAGACTTGACAAGTAAGATCTGCTGAGTTTGAGGGTCGACATCCATCGGTGGGGACGTAGATGTCCGCGAGACCGTCGAGATCGTCTTCTTGCGTCTCCTGTGCCACTAACCATCTCAATCCGCTCGCCAACGCCGCATTCGTTCACGTTCCCCACGAATTGTGGTGATAGTCGAGGAGCGCCAATTCAATTTCGACATCGAGCGAGCTTCTCCAGTCCGTTCGCACTGTACATTCACTCCAGCTCGAAGAGATCTGCGCGGTAGTATCCGCTACACGGTGGCGACTCTCCATCCCATCCACATGATTTCCAACCAACGAGTCCGAGGCTCGTTGAAGTTCCAATCCCGTGAAAAGACGGGTAACAAAGGGAACTGGCCGTCTATCTGAGAAACGCAAACCGCGGAAATGCCAGAGCGCAGTGGGCGCCTGCCTGAGGATTCCGGGGTGGGCGACAGGCGAGATATATAGGACCGAGGTTGGGTTAGGGAAGGGGGAGTTTTTGAGCCATCGTTGGGGGGATGGTGATGGAGGAAGAGCTGGAGGTTGAACGTTGAGGAGCGGATGAGGGAATGGAGGGAAGCTTGGAGAGTGCTTCGCCTTTTGCTCGTACGTTTCGCAGAAGAAAGATAGGTAATCTGAGGGAATGGAGGAGGCGGTTGTGAGATGGATGGAGCTGGACGGCTGCTAATGGGATGAGGGACGGATGTCGGTTGAAGGAGACAGATAAGGAGCCAGATATTGATCAGGCTTCTTGCCCATCGTTTCCGTTCGTTTCTGTTGGAGCAGCGAGTACGAGGGGTAGTGGTTGAGTGAGAAGGTAATGAATTCGGGGACTCTCAGTCCCCCTTATATACTACAAACATATGTAACTAGAATATACTACAAACTACTATAACTATCTACAGTGTCCTATATGAGACTAGTACGTGCGCGTATGCACGGGATCGGCATACCGGAGTTGCCGGTCCGCCTCGACTATTCAACACTCCCCCTCAACTCCGAATCTATGCCGATGCGAGACGTGAATCTCTCGTGAGCTGGGCGTGGTAGCGCCTTAGTAAATACATCGGCCAGATTGTCTTCTGATGCGCAGTGTTCTATTATGATTGAGTTGTCGCCGAGACGTTCGCGTACAAAATGATGTTGAATATCAATATGCTTTGACTTTGAATGTGACCCTTGATTCTTTGAAAAGTCAATTGCAGATTGGTTGTCGATATTCAGTAGTGTAGGTTTATTTTGTAATAAACCAATTTCTGTTAATAAAGTGCGAAGCCATATCGCTTCTCGAGTTGCTAAACTTGCGGCCATATATTCTGCTTCCATTGTGGATACAGCAACAGTGCGCTGTTTGCGTGATGCCCACGATATGGGCGCATTCCCGAATAGGAAAATGTATCCTGAAATAGACTTGCGATCAAGATCATTATTTCCCCAATCAGCGTCGGAATACCCTTCTAAACCTGGAATAGAGTTTCCGCCGCCATACGTTATCCCGTAGTTGCGTGTTCCATTTAAGTATCTAAACACGCGCTTGATTGCACTCCAGTGTGCAGGGCTCGGATTGCTTGTGAATTGGCTTAAATGTTGAATAGCGTATGCAATGTCAGGCCGCGTGCCAATTGCTGCATACATTAATGATCCTATAGCCGCTGCGTATTCTGGGATACCGTGATGTTCTCCTTCGGGAGTTTTAGTTAGTTTGACATTCGGATCGAGTGGCATTTTGACAGGCGTGGATTTGGACATTCCAAATCTGTCCAAGATTTTTCCCACATACTGATTTTGTGTTAAATGTATTGTGCCCTTCTTGAGATCCCTTTGAACTTCAAATCCCACTATTTGTTTGAGTTCTCCAAGATCCGAGATATCAAACTTTTGGCCAAATTCTCTTTTGAATTCTGCCATGGCTTCGTCATCTGAAGCTAAAA